GACGTGGAGAGGGAGGTGCTGATCCCTTCTCCCTGTATCCAGTGATAGGACGCGTGGGAATGGTTCAAAGCTGCGTCAGGGGAGGTTCAGACTGGGCTTTAGGAAGCATTTCTTTACCGAGAGGGTGGCCAAACACTGCAACAGGCTTCCTAGAGAGGTGGTCGATGCCCCAGGCCAGTCAGTGTTTAAGAGGCATTTGGACAATGCCCTTAATAACATGCTTTAACTTTTGGTCAGCCCTGAAGTGGGACTAGATGATTGTTGTAGGTCCATTCAAACTGAACTATTCTATTCCATTCTATTCTAATTTGTTTCTAAGTGACTAAGATATTAGACTTCTTTAGCTTGCAATACGTATCATAAATAAGAAAGGCAAAGTATTTCTGTTCTGCTGCCTCTAACCTTATATTGGTCCAAGAATTAACTGATGCATTATTCAGTATTTTTAAATTTAATTATTTATTTATTTTTAATTATGAAAAAAATGCCAAATACTTTCAAAGCAGAATTTGGTCCCTTTGGTTCACTTGTACTGATCACTGCAATGCTATTTCCTGTATAACAGATGAGGCCAAGCACAAACTACATACAGCCAATGCTCTCTGATGTTGAGAATCAGTGCAACTCCTACTCTGGGTTTAAAAGATTTGGAGAGAACAGTTGACGAAACACTTCTCTGGCACAAAGATGACGGAGAAAGTGATGTTTCTTTCAACTTTAAGGAAATCTCTTAGGTAGTTTGCTGAAAGATCTGCGTTTGCATAGTGCATTTCCAATGCAGTGATGGCTTCATATGCATTAACCTGGAGACACGGTGGAATCTCGGCTGAGATTTGCTACCTGGGTCAGAGATGGAAATGGATCCAGACATTTTGGCACTTGTTGGTCTGAAATGCAAAAGAAAGCATGATAAATGTAACAGGCAAATTTCACATCAGCTTTTTCATAAACCATTTTTTTTCAACTTGGTACAGAATATCAAACTGTTAATAATTAATGAACCAAAGTTATGGGAATCCTGTTAGTAAATATTGCCACAGGATAGGAAAACAATCACCTCTGATTCCAAATTGTGGTAGGGATTGTTGTATAGGTTTTGCTAGTCTATTTTTTTTTCCATAATTGTGTTTCTTTTTTCTTATTTGCAAGAAAGAGAAGAGATACGAAAGCCTCCTGGTTCTGTCTAAAATGAATTCCAAAGGCATATATTACAGCCATTTCCATTCTAAAACCTGAAGGGTGCAGTTTCGTTTGCTTGTGATGGCAGATTTAATGATTGAAATAGGTAATTACGCAAAGACGAGTATAGAAAGGTTATTGAGAGATTTGAGGTGGAAGTTGGTTTTGACTTGAAACGGTGCAGAATGTACTTGAAACGGTGCAAAAATGCCCGTTAGCAGATCAGCGAGAATTTCAAGGGTTTACATATGACAGTTCTCTCAGAGGTTAATGCAACGTTAGGAAAAAATACCACACGCCCCTAAATTTTCAGAGAGCATATCATTTTATAAATCATAGATTATTTTTCTGTGGAACTTGTGCTATTATTGTTTGACAGGAACTAATTTCCACAGATGTGGAAGACAGATTCTTCCAGGGATATTCCCTCTGGAGGGATTAGCCATTTTTGGTGTCACCTTCCTCAGGATGCTACAGCAAACCTTCCATCGATCTGTGGTTTGCAGAAAAGGGGACAGCCATGATTGTCCTTCTAGTAGCAAAAATTTCCATCTGCGGTTGCATTGGCTCTTACCTTCTTCCAAAGTTTTGATGCCAGTTTGGAGATGTATGTAGATCCTGTGCTCGTGATAGATCCTTCCAGATCCCACCCTGCCTGATCCAGGGTTATGTCACACCAAAAAAGTATAAAGTGCTTCAAAAAAATGAAATAAGGGTCTGTACTCTGAAGAGCTTACTAACAAGAGAGTGAGCTCAGGATGAAAACGTATGAAGCAGGCAAGCAGTGCAGCATTATGGTACCAACCAGGATGAAGCTCTCACGTTCAACATAGCTTTAGTTCAGCACTTCTAGAGAAATAAATGTACATGAAAATATTTGATATGTGTAACAACTTCTGATGTGATTTATGTGCACTTGAAGCAAATGAACAGAACAAAAGTAGTGCAGGCCCTCACCAAATAACTAGCCTCTAGCTTGTTTGGCCTGTGCTGTGTTTATATCTCATCTGACAGTAGATGACAATCCTTTCACGAATACATGAAACTCTGAGGTTCAAGGCGAGTATGGTTAACTCCCAAATGTGGTTGCTTATCTGAAATGTATCTAAACGTCTTAAATCTGCAACAGTGAGATGGAAATCTCTCAGCACCAGGCCTTCCTTCTAGAATGACAGGCATAAAGCCAATAGTGTTTTTCCTATCATAAGCTGCACCTGTTTTTAAAACCCAGACACTTAGCTGGGAACTGTGGACAAAAATAACAGAAAAAGAGGTGAACAAAAATTTCACCATACTTAAAATGTGCTGTGTTCAGGCTCCTTGTGCACCACACATTTAAGCAAACGTGTCCAAAATTAGGTATGAACGCTTCAGGGGAAGCACCACTGTAGGCTGACAGTGCCTGGCACAGCCCAGGGGAAACACTGCGTGTACCTCCTTCCACATCCAGCCAGCTTCCTAGCAGAAAATCCCCTTTGCCTTTGGAGAACCCCGTGCCCACTGCATCCATTACTGTCTGTGCAGTGTGTCCAGAGCCTCTGTTGAGGCCAATCTGCACTACTTTTTTCCCTGAAATCTAGGGCTCAGCCTACACCATTTTCACCATGCAGTGTATTTATATCTGATCATCATATTGGTGAACTGACCTCATCTAGATGTAATTAGGTACATCACATGTTGGAGTCAGTAAACTTGTAATGCTTTTCAGCAGAGATGAACATAAGTGTGTTAGGGACAAATGCAGCAAAGCTGCATTCATACTGTATTTCAGCGAACGTGTTTGTGTCTCAAATCTGTGTCATAAGCAGAGAGTGAATGCATTTAAAAGTGTACTAAATATTATAAATAAAAGCAGGGGACAACCTTCTCCCCAGGGAGGTGGACTGGTGTTTGAGCTGTCGTAGTGGTAATGTGTGAAAAACCCTGGAGTGGAGTAGACTTTGAAAAATAGTGCTAGCTTTGGCATTATCTCCAAATACTATTGGAAAAGGATCATTCAGAAAGGATGCTGTTAAGTGAAACTGGACCCTAATTCAGATCATATTAAAAGGAACATTTTTTACAAATTCTCAGCTAAAGAGGTTTCCAAAAAATGATTATTAAAACATAACATTTTGCCACTGTTAACAACCTAACCATTATAGCCATGGCCTGAAAGTGAGGCAATAAATATTTACTATTGGTAACAAAACTGTCTAGAATATGTTCTTCACAGTCCAAAAGGAGAAATGCAAATACTGTACATTTATAGTCAGCCCTCAGAAACTGGGAAAATGAACAGTGAATGAGCTGTTTTCTTTCTGCTTTTTATAACTGGAAATATTTTCCCCCATTAAACACTTGGAGGCCAGTGTCTCATCTTTGTATTGAATATTTTCTCCAGCAACAACTATTGACTACAGCAGGATATTATCTAAGTAAGAATAACATGACTTGATTCATGGCTTTTATGTCTGACAGTGTTCCTTTAATGCTCAGAAGTACATGTGTGTCCACAGTGTTCAAAGGTATTTGGTGTATATGTATAAAATTAATGCATTTTTAAACTGAGGAGGATTCTCAGTAGGATTTTGAAAAGGAAAGCGCTACAATTCTGCTTCTGTTGATGGGGAGGTTAAAATTCCCAGTGGGAGCAGTCTTAGGCCAACGCTGAGCATTTCTGAAGATCTCACCCGGTACTGGAAACACCCTTAAGCTGATATCTTTGTCTCTCCTTATATTTGCAAGTGTTAAATGCCATAGAGCTATTGGCCTCAACTTGAGTGAAGAAAGCTTTTCTATGACAGCAAGGGCTGGCTACATTTAGTTAGCTAAACGTAGCTGAGTAAACCATAGCTCCATGGCTACGGAGAAGATGACTGCACTCCCTTTCCATTTCTGCTGTTATTTGGGGGACTCTCTGGTGTATTAGTTCAGTGGTGTTTTCCAGAAATGTGAAAGAGGGAGAGAAAGGATGGGCAGGTAGTTTGAAAGCTGAGATAATTTTGATGGAATTCACCTCTGTTCCTCCACAGTCTGGCATGTCTTGGGTACATCGCTTAGCTTCTGCGTTCTTCAGTTCCCTCTCTGTAAAGTAGGGGTAATACATCTCATATTGCAAAGGCTGTGGCTGTGGGGTAAATCTATTCAGGTTGGTGAAGTCTTCAAATTCTTATGGAGGGGCAGGTACGTACCTCGGACAGACTGGACATGATAACATTCCAAAGCAATCTGAGCATTACATATTGGCAGCTGCAAGATAATCAAATAGACTTACTCCATTTAGAAATGTGAGACAGAACAGTAGATGAGAGGAAAATATATAGAAGGAACTTGAAGACATAGTCTTCTCAAGTTATCTCACAAAAGCCAGTGAAAGGCAAATGTTTCTTGAGGCTGAGACATCTCTGGCTAACATGATTACATGCTGTAATGTGATAGCCGTTGGGAGGCCTTTGCAACGAGCTTGTAGCCGAGTGTCACATGAGGCACCTAGGCTTCTGAGGTGGTTAGTCCCACTTGCGTCATTACATTATCTTTGAGAAATTCCAGGGGACTTGGAAATAAACAAGTGCACAGTCCTGTTGCTGTGCCTGGCAGGATTGGGCCAGGGTGGTGTGTTTCAAATAAATTATTTTATGTGTACTCAGGGATTAGTCTATTAGTGGCTTTATACATTCTCCTTTCACAGATGGCAGTGCCAGTAGGAATTATTACTATTGTTTTAAAATTCTGGTAATCACTTGCTTTCATGCCTTTGAAAGTATAAACAGCCTGTTTCAGGGGTTTACTTGCCACAGTTGTATTACTCATACTCCGTTTCTTGCTTTGTTTGCTGGTAGAATACGTACACCAATGCAGACAAGCTTTTGGAGGCTGCAGAGCAGTTGGCTCAGACTGGGGAATGTGACCCTGAAGAGATCTATAAAGCAGCCCGGCATCTGGAAGTACGGATTCAGGACTTTGTCCGGAGGGTGGAACAGAGGAAACTTCTCTTGGACATGTCAGTCTCCTTCCATACCCACACCAAAGAGGTAAGATGTGCATAAGGGAATTTTTCTGTGTATTGCGGAGTGTTGCAAGAGGCTGATTCTGAAAACTCAGATGACATTGAAAAGGCATCTTCACCATGCAGGGATGATATCCAGTTCATTTGATGCATATGACTAACTGTTGTAAAGAGGAAGCAAAATGTGAATGAAACATCTGACTGATATAGTACATTAAAATATAGGGACAGTATATCTAACGTATCAAGCGGTGCTTAATTCACAGCTAGAACGTGTTGTTATAAAGCAAGAATTCTCTGTACGAACATGAGTTGATATTAACACATTAGGTATAAACATGCTAGCAGTGTGATACATATCTTCAGAGGGGTTCCATTTGAATGTAATGTTAATTAATGTAGCCATTATTATTAAGTGTTACTGGAAATCTTACATTGTTTAATGAGGCAGACTTCACTTTTCAAAATTATGGTTTAAAGAGCAAATAGCCACATACTGATACAATGAATCAGCGAGGACCTGAGTAAATGCTGTTTAGTGTAATTGAAAAATATCCAGAGATAAGGCTGTCTCGCCAGAGATACAGTGGACAGGACATCAAATGGGAGGCCACTGGGGATGTAATTAAAGCATACTTCACATTTTTCTGCAGACCAAAGGCTATTCAGTGATGAGTGACTTTTAAAAATAGGGTTTCTGCTGAGAAAGATGGAATTAGTCAGAAAGGTTGTTTTCATGCTCTGCAGCATCTGTTTGCAAAAGTATACTTGATCAGAAAGATGCTCTTAGAAGCTGAAAGCTTTGCCTGCGTTTACATGTTACAAACAAGTTGTGTGTAGCAGCCTTCAGCATGTTGGGGAGCCTCCTTAAATAGAAGCTGTATGCATATGTATGCACACACACACACACACACACACACATATATATGGAAGATAGTTGGAGTTACAGTGTGTCCATTATAGCTGTTGATACATGAAGGTTTTCCTTTTACATCCTGCTTCTGCAATATACTAAAATCTAGTTACTTTAAGTTTGTGAATAGTACTATTGTTTCCAGAGTAGCTCAAACGCTTGCAGCTATGCTTGTCTGCCGCAGGGGAAACTTAATTGGTTATTTCCTCAGTCAAAATTATTTCATAACAGTTTCCTACTGTGATTAACCTCGCTTCACCTATGCAGGTGGTGACTAGTAACACAAAGATAGGCATGACTCCAGGAAGTTATCAGTATAATATGTTTTCTATCATCTAAATTTCTTCTGATGATTACTGGTACTGTGTAGCCTAATTTGGGTTTGGGAACTAGAGCTTCCCTGTATGAAGGGCTTTCGATTGCAGTGCACTATACTCACTTCTACCCTTCTTCAAGAAGAAGGGAATTTGCCTGCTCCACTGACCTGATTTTAATGAGCCCTGTTTTGGTGTATATAAAATGCAGATGTATAAAAATGCACATTTTTTTGAAACTATTAAAAAACCAGTCTTTTGTGACAGCATCAATGCTGTTACTAGATATTAAGAGTAAACCCTAAATCTCTGCCTCATTGATGTTTACCCATGGGACAGATTGGTGCTGTGATGCCTTTTTGGAAAGCTCAGTAAGTACTTGCTGTCAGTTTTAGGGAGATCCAGAGTGGACAGACTCCGGGTGCCTCTCTCTCCCCAGAGGAACAGATGAGGGAGCTGTAGCACAAAACTGGGACATCAGCAAAGTCAGGGTGGACCCAGGAATCCACCATCATCAGAATGAATGACAGCGTCTTGCAAAGAGACTGCTAAAGTTATTGCAGTCTCCAGCAGTGCCCCAACATCGGAGGATGCACAGTAGCTCTGCAAGAGAAAGGAAGTTTTCACTTCCTTACCCCTGTGTTAATTCACTCCTGTGGGGGCCAAACACTCTGGTTTTCTGCAGGTTCACTGAATTCCATTGTGTGTCACTATCTGCCTCCTTCAGTGACAAGTTTCTGCACTGGTGGGAGTCACAGAGCCCAATACCTCATTTTTTTGCCAAAAATAATAAGTGAGGAAGTCGCTGCGGTTTTAGTATTTGTCTGCCAGCTGTGGGGATCCCCACAGACACAGTGAAGTAACCAAGGACTGCCAGGGGGGACCTGGTGCAAAGGGCAAAGCATTACAACAAGAGAGCCTTAGCACATGTTTGGATCTATATTTGCCTTTTTATGCTATAAATAGATTTGCTCAAGTAGAAATGACTCATTGCTTGGCCTTGCTTGGCACTTCATGTATATTGTAAAATGGCAAGTTAACCAATGTAATTGTCGTTCTTTAATATCAATATAAACCAGATAGCTGGATTCCTCAAAAATGAAGAAATACAAATGTCTTTCCTTTGCCACCATTCCTGTGATACTATTATGTCCTTTCTCTGTTTCACACCAACTGATCTCAGTTGATTCCTCCCGGGGCCCTGACTAGGAAATGTGCTCAGCCCTGGTGAGACCTCCCAGCCTACAGAGCTGGGCTGGACCAAATGCAGGTTCTTGCTCTAGCCACTCGCCTACTTGTCCAGGTCAGATCTGCACCATCTATGCTCATTTTATGAAACTGCTGAAAAATAAATTCACTGTATTTGCTGGGATTTCGGTCCCAAACAACAAAGATAACATTAGATTCCAGTTTTAAAGTCAGGATTTATCATGCAAAATTCCCTTTGAGTCAGTAGCAGTTTTAATTGAGTTAAAGAGTTCAGAGTCACATTTAAATTCTAGCAGATGTCAAGGCAAAAAATCCTTTTGCTGCAGCAGTAAAATACAGGAAGATCTGAGATCATTTGTGCTGTTTTACCAGGAGGCATTCCAGTTACAGTGCTGACACATGCCTCCCTGATTAACCTTGCCCCTCCTACCTGCCATGCTGTGCCAGATGCTGGACTGTACGATGCCCATCCAAACCCATCACCTGGGAATGTCTTGGGGCGAGGAGAAAGCAGTTTGACTGGCATGTTAACATGTTTAACACCTAACATATTTTGCGTTATTCTAGAGGGCATTATTAGTTATTTAATAATAACCATCATTATTCATTTCACCCTTTGTAGTTCTTAAAACCATTTCTTAAACTATTAACAACTGTTTCTCTTATGTCCTTTGAAACAAACAGTTCCCTTCATGTTTTCTTGGCAATAATGCAGGAAACTATGGCCTAGATGTATTTTTCATCTAAGTTTCCCAAATTCTCGTTATTTCTTGATACATTAATCTACTGAGACAGAGCTGGTGAAAGGGAGAATTAAGTGGAAAGAATTGGTCTCACTGACATGGTTTTTATGGAAATATTCTAAATATCTTCCTGCAATGAACATGTCGCTTCTGACAGTCTTCCTAGCACAGATGAACTACACTTCCGATGCGATAATTCCCAGCTGTGGATGAGTGCTCTGATTGTGAACTTCTCACTGCTTCACCTGTTCTCTGCCCACCTCTTCATCTCCACGTGTGACTACTCAGATTCCCAGCATTTGAAAAACTTTTAACAGCTCCCATTTTAAAAAAGTGATCTTGTCAAAGAAATGTTTCTTTTTGTAATCTGCCTTGCTAGAATTTCTTCAGGACAATATATAGTGTTGAATTAGGGAGTTATTTAAATCCAGATATCCCGTGAGCAATGAAAGAGTGGCTTCTTTTTTATACTACAGTAGACTTGAATCACTGCTTGTTTCACATGAAAGCATTGTAAGAGGATTCCTTCTGCTAAACACTGACTTATACAGTTGAAGGAATATGGAAAAGACTGTCAATTAAGCATAACAATAATTTTGATTTTTTTTTTTTTTTTTTAAGTGGCCTTACTTAAGAATACATGCAGTAGGCTGAAATGATGATTTTCTGGTATGGTAAAAATATTTTAGAGGCATAAATTTAGAGCAGTCCCCTAAGTGATTGTTAGTGTCATAACTCATGAGTAATGTAGTTGTCCTATTGCCATGCCTATAAAAGAGATGCTGTGTGTCCCACTGTCCTACAGTATTCATTATGCTCTTTTAGTTTATAGTCAATATTTTCATACCCTTTTAGGCCAAGCCATTCCTGATGGTATGAGCAGAAACCTGGTACCTTGGGAATCAAATCCAATTACCTGTATGGCAGGGTACAGTTATAAATTATTATCAATTGGATAAATGCATTCAACAGACTTGTACCCCAATCATTTCTCTCAGGATTAAGTATGACTGAATTCAGATCTGAATCAATTACTGGCAGGATTGTCAGATCTTGCAGTTTTATCACAAATCTCATGATAGTTGATATTTTTCTGTGAGCTCTCAACTGCTAGGATCAAATGATGATACAGGATTCTTGGCTGTCATTGCATTTTGTTTAAAAGAGAATAATTTTTGAGCCTCCTGGAGAAGAAGTTGCAGATGTGATAAAATCACACCCTGAAGACTCAAAAACCTCAAGGCATATAATAAAAACATCTTGTAATTCATTGTCTGAATCTTAATATTTTACGTTGGTCTCACAGTTTTATACTTATGGTTCTGAAGTGTACTTTACAATTCCAAGTATAAAAATGTAGACACAAAAGAGCTCTGTCACCATTTCCATATCATTAAAAACTTTTAAAATCCTCTTGCATAATTAAATGATGACTTAGCATCTTGTAAATGTCTTTACTTTCCATAAAGATTTTCTTCTCTGTTTAGCAATTGTAGTTTTGTTTTGCCTGGCTTAAAGTAGCACGAAATAGTGCTACCAGCAGTTTCTGATACAGCTTCAGTGCTGAGGGTTTAAACAACAGTATAGAAAGGCCTGGGAATTACTTTTGTCAAGTAAGTGTTGAGATGAGGCTACACATAGATAGCTGTGGGTGATATCTACATGCAAATAAACTCTTGGCTTCATCGGCGGGATTTTAAGGTTTTACGATTAATGTAGGTGTTTAAGAGCAAGTATATGTACCTGAGTGTATTCTCTATATAACTGAAGTAAAGGTTTGTTGTGTTACTTGTTGTATTGGCTGATAATGAAGTTGCTAATTTAAGAACAAGAAGGAATTTCACTG